GGAAACGCTTGTCTGTACGTGTTTATTTGCCTGTGGGTGATATCTTTCTTGTGGCGTTGGGTCAAAATATAGATCAGAACTTGGTATTTTCTCTCTCTCAACACCCACAGGACATGTGGGGGGCAGTGGGGCGGAGCTCTCGCACCCCCCTGACGGTGGGGGGCGCCCTCCCCGGGGCCGGCGGGGCCAGCAGGAGGCCGAGCCCTGACCCATCCCGTCCAGGGGCCATTCTGAGGCTCGGGTCTCATGGATCACAACTGGGAACAGGAATCTGAGAATGATGTTCGATATATTAAAAAATTCCGATGGGAAATGTGGATTTATTGGCAATTCGTGGCAAAAATGAGCTGAAGTATTGTTTTTGTCTCTTGATGAAATTACACCTACTAACAACACAGGTTATTCCACAATTATCGGAAGCAATAGTTGGTATCATATTGTCCTTAAAAACAACTAATTAAGTTAATACTGCTTATTTAGTAGGAAAAAATATGTCAGAAACACAAGGTCCCTAGGAACACAAGTGGCTGTTGCTTGAGAGGCAGGAAGCCACTTGCCCGTTTCCATCTTCACGTCATACAGGTGTCGAGGGGCTACCTGAGGCTAAGGAAAGCCCCCAGGTGAGGGAGCCAGCACTGCAGTTGGGTCCTGAGAGAGATTCCTCCCCCTCTCTGAGCCGCTTCCTTCCTCGGAGACGTTCCTGAGCTGCGGCTCTCCCTGCACTCCCACGTCTGTGCCAACAGGTGAGTCACTGTTACTTGTGACCATTTCTGTGGTTTGTGTCAAGTGCTGAGAAAATACGTCAAGCTGCTATCGCAAAAAACTTCTGACATAGTGTTGATAATAAAAAGCACAGGGATAAAAAAGGGAATGTGAGTGATAGTTTTCATTGGACAAATCCTAAGGCATTCAAAACAACGGTGAGAGCTTGGTGAATATGTTTGAAGAAAAGTGACAGATGCCCTCCCTGTGTAACAGTAATATCTGCACGGGTACCCCCGGCCCCAGTTACCCTTCCCTCCGAGGACCAGATGTGCCCTCTAAGTTAGGGGGCGGGGCAATCAGGCAAATCCAAACTGAGGAACACTCTGCAAACAGCTGTCAATGGGCTGCAAGAGACTGGGGGACCACCCTAGAATAAAGGGAACCTAAAAGACGTGACAATTGAAACACAATACATGAGCCTTGACTGGACACTAGATCAAAACAAAACAGAAACAGAAACAGCTATTTAAACACAATAGCTCTGAAGGGCACTGTTGGGACAATTGGGAAGTGTGAATATGGACCGCGGGTTAGACGATGCCACTCCATCAGTCCCTGTGAAGTGCCCTGGATGTGACAGCTGCACTGTCGTGATGCAGGAGGATGTCCCTGTCCCTAGAGGATGCTCAGAAGCGCACAGAGGGCGAAGGGATCCGGGCACTCAGCTCTCAGACGTGCGGGGGGTGGGGGTGGGGGTGCGGAGAGGAGGAGGGGAAGGGAGAAGGGCTTGCGCATGCGCACGCACAGTGCATGCGGGCTTGTGTCGTTCACAGACGTGCGCAGGGGCGAAAGGCAGGTGAGTGTTCTCACTGCTCCGCGCACCGCTTTTCCCCAGGTCTGCCATTTTTCCAGATGAAAAGTGGGTGAAGAGCTTAGGCGTGCCAGGAAGCAACCCTGTGCCTGTGCGCAGAGGGGAGGCTGGAGCCCCGGAGCCGGGCTCCGTCCTACATCGCGTGGCTGCAGCAGGCCCGTTCCAGGATTTGATAGTTCGCCCTTAACCGAAGGGGACGGGCTAAGTTAAATGTCTGAAACGTTTATGGGTTAAATTTCCTCCACTGGGACGTTATGGCAGTTACACGATTTTTAATTAAGAAGATAAACACCCTAACATGTACTTAAAAAAGAAACACAGTACAAACTAGTTACACATTTGGTAAGAGTATAAATATTTTTGGAGTTGAAAAAGTCAATAAAAGGTAAAATCATTCTGATTTTAATGTTCATGTACATGTGTTCACTGGTTACTGCTGTGCATTTAATTTAAGACGGCCTTTTTAATAAGCAGAAAATGTGCATTTTTATATTGTTTAAATTTTAATATGGACTTTTGTTCAAAACAACACAGACATTCAGGCTACTTGTAAATGATACAAGATTTTTTGCTAATGAGGCATTATGTAGAACATATGCAAAAATCACAGTTCAGTCTTCCAAAAGAGACCACAGTAACAAGAAAAAACACGATTTTAATAAAAAGGAGCAGCACTGGGCTTTTACTTCAAAGCAATTAAGGGCTTTGGATAACCAAAAGTTCATGTCAAGCTGATGCCAAACCAAACTGGTCTATTAAACACATACTGCGAAGAGTTGCTGTAATACTCTGTGAAAGGGCTCTCTGCCATAAATACCCAGCACCGCACTCTGAAGGTTACAGCTATGCTGGGTTCACGTCTGAGAACAAGGAGTCCAACGTTCAGATCAGACTTCTAGAATTTCAAATCTGAAATAATGTATCCGTGGAAGACAAGTTCAAATATGTTTTCCATTTTGTAATTTTTCTCTACAGTAAATTATACCAAGTTTTATATTCCCCCCAACATTTTTTTTCCAACGGTTTTCCATTAGTCTCAAAAGAAAAAACAAACCTGCTGTTACACATAAAACTCTGAGCTATGTGTAAACATGTAAGAAAAAATAGACTCGAAGCCTCTGATGTGAAGTCATTTCTTCAGTTTTCAACAACTGTATTTCAAGAAACAACATGCCATTCACTACACGTGTCCTTCCTTCCAAGGAAATAACGTGTAATTTTCAGTTTTATAAAATCAGCGAGGTAGAGTACAAATTGGTTTATTTCTTTGGCCTCAATAAGTGATAGTGCCTTTACCTGTAATTCTTGTTTTGTCTTCTAGTTTTTGATATGACAAAAAAAAGAGAAAAAGGCTGCTATGGCGTGACTAACAGAGACCCCCCAAGGAGGGCAGCAGCTCAGTCTTTAAGGCGAACTCTTCCACGTGTGCACGTTGCTGTCTCTGGCTGACGACGTTTCATGGGGAAAACGTGTACCTGCGCATCAGTCTGTGTCCTGTGCTGACCTAGTCCTGGGACCGAAGGGCTGAAGGACTTCGGAAGTCCCGTTCAGTCCACTGTGACCACTCCGGTTTCTGGAAGGCCGTCTCCCTTCGGAAGGGGGACCAGCGTGCACCGTGTCCGTGCTGCTCTTTGGGGACTTAAGGAACACCACAGAGAAAGGGAGGCTGACAGGAGCGGGCTGCAAGCTTGGACCTGGCCTCGGTGCGGAATTTCTGCAGTCAGATGACGTCTTAAATACGGCTGTGGGCAATTCACCGAGATCACCACGCTTGGTGTTGGGGCCCAGGCCTTCAGCGCTGTTCCTCACAAGGACACATGGGTTGATTTTCCAAGAAGGCTAAGTCTAAATCAGTTCTTCTTAGGGGAACACCAACAACTCCTTGGTATTCAAGCTGGTTCAAAGCCAAGGTTCACATTATATCCCCTAATATATATATATATATATATATATATATATATATATATATATATATTTCTCAAAAAATATTCACTTTTTTGCCATGCACTTATAAGCATATATAAATGTCCCTAAATATATAGAATTTCATCATCTAATTAAAATTTACACATAAGTTTTCAGGAACAGAAATCATTAGACAGTGCTAATCTTTAACACTGAAACTCTGAAACATAGTTTTGCAGATATTTTTAACCCTACTTCACTGTTTAAAAAACAGTCTCCCATTATGCGTCACTTCTTAGCTGCTTCAAGTATTACCACGTAGGGCTGGTTGGTTAAAGGAGAATGAAACGCTGAGCCTGAAAGGAAAAACCAGAAAACTGCCCCTGGTTTCTCTAAGATCCTAGCCGCATGAGCATGCCATCACATAAATTGGAAAGGGGGAAAACAGAGGATCTAGGTCTGGTTTAAAACAAAAATGGAGAGTGAAGTAACATAGGTATAACAAGGGCAGCATGTAGGCCTCACGTGGACTTCAGTTCCACCAGCAGAAAGACACCTTCGGGGAAGTCTGACTATCGGCAGGTTACTGGCCAAGATCAAGGCCCTGCTGTCTCTGTTCAATGTGACGATGGCACGGAGGTCGCGTGAAAAGAGAACTCCCTATCAGACAGAGATGGGTACCGACGCGTTCACGGGCGAGCAGACACGGCCTCGGGCTCGGCCAATTCCCTGGAGAAAGCCGCGGTGAGGGGCCGGGCGGGAGCAGACCCGCAACACGCCGGTAACTGCTGAACCCGAGTGAGGGGGGCGTGGGGGCGCAACAGACCCTTCCCTTTACTTTTGGGGACACTTGGTCAAAAAAAAAGCAAAGGAAAAAGAAAAGTAACAGAAAGAGAAAAGCCATAGAGGGAAGACAATACCAAGGAAGCACACACCAAGTCTTCCCGGGGACAGTGAGAGAGCAGGGACGAGATACCAGTCATCAGGGACCATGACAAACCAAGGGGGACGGAATGGAAAGAGCCGCACACAACGGCCCATCAACCATGAAGGGGCCGCAAGGAGACCCCTGCAGGGCCCCCGCCATCCACGACCACCCACAGGATTTGACGCAAACTTGGAATACTGGGAGAGGCAACACCTTTGGGGGATAAAAAAGAACTGGTCCCGTTGTAAGGAACTGACTGCCTTTTAAGGTTGAAAAACCTTGAGGCCGGACTTACTCACCAGGGGAGCCGGCGGCCGAGTCCCTGTCACACAGGGTTCTCTGGGCAGGAGGGACCACAGGGCGCGAGAGCCCCCCACGGTCTTGGTACACGGGGCAGGTGAGTGGGGTCGACGGGGGGCGGCCCCTGGGCCCGAGTGGATGGCGGTTAGTGGGTCTAGAGCAGGCGTGTATGGAGAATGAGGAGTAAAAACATGATTTTGAAACAGACTAGACTGAGCCCTCTGTGACACATGATAAAGCATTTTAAACGAATTCTGACCTTATCAAAGTGAGATTTCTGTTTTAACATACCTTTGATCTGTAGCCTGCTGTTCTCGAAGCTGAAGCAGAGACAGCTCAATCTCATTTTCTTTCCTCCGCAGCTGAGTTTTCAGGATCTCCGCCAACTGCTCCAACTCTTCTATCTGGCCTCTCTGGGACTGGACGACGTCTTCTCTGAAATAAAGAACCTTCACGTGAATGTGCTGTTTGAAGAAGTATCTGCAGTATTTAGGGTTCGTACAGGGAAAGTTCTTCAGAATAAAGAGAAAGCGAGAGTTCCAAATGTTAGCCCAAGTGCCTCTGCACAGAGGAAAACAGCAGCAGTTCAAAGGCGACGACCTGGAGGCACACGGGGAGCAATCCCAGACGCCTTTCGTACAAGACAAAGTCCTAGGCAAGGGGTCGGTGGTTAGGTTCAGCCCATTAAGCATTTACTGTTCACCTACTACGTGCTCCGCAATCTGTCCACCTTCGGCTAATTTCTCTGCCTTTGTTCTGCCACATGCAGGTCTCCCTCCACCGCCCACATGAACACGGCAGAGAGAGAGGGCAGGGAACCTGAGGATCACCGTTTAGTGGTCTCCAGCTTATGCTTATCTCTACCTTTTCTGGCAGCGCCCCAGTGTAATGAGTCTCAGGAAGCGGGTGCGTGACCCCAGCTTTTCAGCTAACGAACAGGGTAACACGATTAGGGGTAGCCTTTTGGTTTTTCTCTCTCACGGCATAATCATCGCTGTATCTGGTATTCAAAGTATTCAAAAGGAAAAAAAAGGCCCATACATCTCTGAGGCGACTACCTAAAGCACGATCCCCGTTCCTCACTCAGAACTGGTCCTTTCCGAGGCTCTAGGTGAAGGCCTATAGATAAGGCGGAACCTCGTCTTCATGTGTGACTCGCAGACACTGGAAGCGTGAAGCTCCGATTAACTGGGAAGGAAGCTAAACGCGGCAGAAGTAGCTGTTTTGAAACCGTAGTGGGATGAAGACTGCAGTATTGTAGAATCAGAGTGAAGCAAAATCTGAAATCCATATGTATTTGATAACTCCAAACTTTTAAGCCACTCCTTCCACATATTTTTAACCACAAAAAGGCTAATTAATTCAGGATTTAAAAAAAAATTACCTGTAATTTGTCAGAGAATGAAAATGTTGCCTCTCAAGCTCACACTATTCTAAATGAGCGGACTTCATACCATTCCTTTGCAGGGGAAAATGAAAATAAAGGACCTTTCCATAAACACTTCCATCGATGCAGGTGGTTAAACTGTTCGCTCTCCTCATTTTAATAGAAACATATTTAGTAATATGTTCTTATCCCACAGATATAGCTGTAATTTAGTGGAGCAAATTACTTGCAGGTAAACCACTTTTGTTTAAAATAAAGAAAAGAGAGGAAAGAAAACGAGACAGAATAAAACATGATCAACACACAGAGTTCCGAAACGACCACAGAGACAATACATACAAGTGCCTCATTTCTCCTCGGGCTTCCTCCAGGAAGCTGCTGCCGTGTTTTGTCAGCATGGGTTGGCCCACGTCTGCGTCTTGGAATCGAATCCCTAAAAATGAATCAGTGAGATTACAGAGGTGAGAAAAGGGGACCCTTGCTTGATCCGGCATCCTGAGGAAATGGGTAATGTAATGAGACGTCTCAGGGGCTCAGAGGTATGTGCCCTGTGGTACCGAGAATCGGAGACACCGTGCCAAAGGGACTGGAAGATCTCAGCCACCTGTCGGCATTACAGCGAACACAGCGGCAGGTGTAGCCCATTTCACAGATTCCCCCGTGAAAACGCAGTTACCTAGAGGTAATCTGATTCCGTTTAGAGTTCAACCTCCCAACATAATTTCTGAGTGGACCAAAGTCTTCAATTCAGGTCTTTACAATATAAACTGAAGTATGGAAAAAAGTTTCAAAAACTTGATTTTTTTAGTATTTTTGATGAATGTTACCTGTACTTTGGTTTATTCCACCTCAACAACCAAATCCATATACAAACAAAGGTGATTTGAGGAGAGATCATCCATAGTATTCCTTTAAAGAGAACATTTTGTTGCTGTGCTTAAAATACAACTTTTCTTATAAAAATAGTTACATGCAATTTTATAAGCCTGATCCCATTGATAAAAATGAGACATACTTTTAATTTTATGAATTAGTTTACATTTAGAGAATAATTAAGTTATTAGAGTTTAAGGTGGATATTACACAGAATTATTAGAGTTTAAGATAAATTATGACCATTTAGTTTTTAATGGCACACAGTCCCAGATATAAAGGTACAGAAAAAGTTCTGTCTCCTTACAAATGTTTCCTTTTTAAGAAGGACAATTTTAATTAGCATAATGGCACTATTCTGTGCTGTTTTCAAAGTGCTCCCCATCTTCTGCTAATATATAAACGGAGGAACAGAAAGTGCTCTGCCTGAAACGTTGCAATAGTTCACTGTTGAAAGACGCCAGTTAGAGTCCTTTGGCAGTAATGCTGATTCTGAAGCATTTCCTACATCAATCATGGAAAAACTGAACACCAATCATGGAATTTAAAAAACATTTATATTCAAAATATATCTGAAAACTGTGGTCTCACTGTGAGTTGTCAATGGTTATCTTTTAAAACACATACACTTCATAAAAATCTTTGTTCTCCACCACAAGAACTGTTTCTACATTGTAACAATCACACCGTGAGCCGCTACTTTCGTCCCTTATCCGGACAAGGCATAAGTAGAAAATGATAATGTTTGTACAGCAGCTTGGGGGGAAGGCTGATGTGGCCAGACAGGGTTTGGGTGGGGTTCTCACCCCGCCCCCCCAGGCTGCACTACTTCTGACAAGTCTGGCCTAACCCCAGCCTCAAAGGTGGTCTCCAAGAGTCTAACAGGATTACTATGGTAACCACCTTGGTGATGATGCTTCCAGTTTACTCAGAGAGAGGTGGTTAAGGAAGTGTTCATCACGGTGTGATGTTTTGTGCGGCTCCTGTCTTGGCCTCTGCACCCAATAGTGGAAAAGGTCTGAATCACCACGTGTAAACACGAGGAGAAATTCAAGCTACGGAATCATATTGTAAAGACCGCTGCTCTGTGGCCCTTATTTCCTCCTACAGGGGAAAACTCCCATCGAATCCTTCCATTTAAATCGCAGTTCATGGCACTCGAGTAACTCGCCACGTTGGTCTACAATCTGGGCGCTGCGTCGTCGGCCGGAAAGCCCTGCAGCCCTTAGAGACCAGCTCGCCCAAGCGCAGTCACAGAGGACGGAACTGAGGGGCGGAGAGGACGAGGGGCTTTTTAAAGGAGAATGCACTGCTGGGGAGCTACCGCCCCCGACCCTTTTCTCTAATCTGGTGTTACAGTGCCACTGCACGGAGGGGAAAACGGGGCCCTCGGAGGTCAAGTGCTCTCTTCCCTGCAGAAGGTCAGCCGGGGAAAGAATGCATTTTCTGCTTCAGGATTCACGGTGGCTCCTCCGCGGACATCCAGCCCACCGCCGGTCTCACGTGGCCAGGGGCGGCCCAGCTCTCTCCTGCTGTGGCCGCCTCCTGCCCGCGTGCAGGGGCCCTCCCGACTCCCAAGGGAGGAATAAAGTGTTAACATTTTGGCTTCAAGAAAAAAATAGAACAAATTTATCTCCCTTTCTGTTCCTACGCTGTTTTTTCTTTTTCTTTCTCAATGAATTGAAATGAAAGTTGACAACATTTTTTATGTCCCTAAAAATGTTTGGTCTTTATGTGAAGCACATTCCAAACAAAGATCAATTAGAGCTAAAATTGTACTTCCTTTCCTAGTAGTTGAAATTAAAAATGTGTTACCTAAAATATTTCCTGATTTTTTTGCTTCATTCTAAGTGCCATTTGTCTGTGGGTGGAGAGAACTGGAACTTTTGGGGAAATATTTGGGTCTTTCTATAATGAGTCTTGTCTATGCAATGGGACTGTTTTATAACCTGGGTAGGTTTTAGGGGATTCGTTTTCAGAATCAAGACAGTGACTGGGCTATGATAATTTTTTGAGATGGAAGAGACCCTTCATGGTCATCTGATTAAGTGCTTTTATTTTACATGTAAAGACCGCTCAAGGTCAGAAGGATGAGAAGACTCGTCCGAAGTCCCCAGACAGTGGGTGGAAGAGCAAGAACGCAGCTTTTTAAACTCCTGCGTCTGCGCACGTTCCCCTCTCGGGCCGTCTCCACCCAGCGGGAAAGACCGGCACAGTCCTGTGCGTGTTATCAAAGGTCTCGTGATGGAGAACTTGAGTGTGATCACGTGCAAGCAACCCGGCTGGTCTCCCCATGTGCCTGCACCGGGGGGGGGGGGGGTTGCCTCCGTGATACAAAAGACCAACTCGAACCGAGCAACTCACATTTTATGTGGTTTCATACACGTCTCCTCTGCGTATGAGCGAACAGTGATGCTCAGTGTTTTACTGAACAAATCTGAGAGTCCGGCGATTCTTAAGTGAAATGGTCCTCACGTTAATACTAATGATTTCATCAACAAACAAGTCCCAGAATGATTTTTCTTTCTAAAGGAACTTAAAAACACGAATCACACAGAAATGAAACTCTGTGTGTGTGTGTGTGTGTGTGTGTGTGTGTGTGTGTGTAAAATGACCCATTCAAAGGTGTAAGGTGAGGGTTCGTGGGAGCTGTACGTCACCTTTCCTGGGGCAGTCCTGGGAGCCTGCGTTCTCACTCGCTTTTCTGCGCCCGGTGTTCACGCGGGACTGCACATAGTTGTACGGGGTCTGCCTGTAGCCCTGGATTTGAAGTTGCTGTTTGGCCGCGATCAGCCTGTTTTTGAGGACTTCATTTTGTCTCTCCAGCTCACGAACTTTCTCTTGCAGCTGCTCCATCATTTCTTCCATTTCCACGTCTCGTCCCAGCCGCTTGGGGCCGCCACCCACCCGCTCGTACCTTTTCTTGTCATTAACGAGCCGGATTAACTTGGTGGCCATTCTAGGGAAATAATAAAAAGATGAAAAGGAATGTGAGAAGTCAGCATAAAATGCATTCTGTTGAAAGGAACATAATCACTGTGAAGACTTCAGTGCAGAACCTGAATAATAAATTTCAGGTTTTGATGTAACTATTACTGCCTGTGAAGAACCCTTTGATGATAATTGAAACCACTGGGCAACAATCTGCTTTATAGCACTGACAAATAACAGTTTCCTAAGGCTTATCATTTAAGGTTAGTAAAGAGAGGACACATATTTACTCCATATGTTGCTCAAATGCAATTTTTAACGCATGACCTTATGTAGGAATGCTGTATACACTTAAATGTAGCTACAGATTGTGGATGTGGTGGGTTATATCTGCAAGCCACAGTAAGTTAAAACTTTTGAAAAGTGTGTTAAGACTAGGCAGCATTTAGGTGATATATTGTTTTCAGTTTCTCTGGGATTAAGACATATGACAAATATAAAAGCGTTAGAATGCATAGATACACCCATATAAAAAAACCCAATGAAAAATTCAAAAGAAACCAAAATGTGGCATTAACTGTTGCTCAGCGCTCGAGAAGCATGGATGTTTAATGGTAGAAAATAATTAGAGGCAGAAAGTATTATTTTAATGCTACCTTTAGGTTTATGCATAAATTGTGCTTTTGACATCTCAGGAGTTTATACCTTTGACTCTTTCAAGTTCTGATAAAAACTGGTTCGACAGAACAAAAGACAGAAAGGGCACATGGGGGTGATGTAATATACACGCACAGAAAGCACGCCTGACAGTGAGTGGAAAAATCTTGGCAGGACAAGAAAGAAAAGGTGGCTTTGATGAGAGACACAAGTTCAAGACTTTACAAAATTGGTCGCACATCTTCAATAGCTGACTCTAGTTTATAGTGCATCTATTTTTATAAAGACCCAGACAGGAGATTGAAAATAAAAACTCACTTCATTTTTCTTTAAACGGGGTTTGCTTTATTTTAGCATGGTTATGGACAGAAGCTTTTACTTAGGAGAACAAAAGTGAAATAAAAAAAGCCCTTAATAGCTTTGGGATGTCACGGAACAACCTTCTTTTGCCCTCAGCAGAGTCCTCTGTAAAAGCAGTAGTAATACACGTCTATCTACACTTCGGGCTTCTCGGCCTACAGCATGTGGCCCGGGGAGAGCTACGCGGAACATAATCAGTTAAGATTGTTTGCTCCTTCCCTTGAGGCACATCCATTAAACATGCTTTATAAGGGATCCAGGGTAATAAAAACCAAGATCCAAGAGCACCACAAACACCCTGGTAAAATAATCAATGGATTAGTTCCTTTTCCACCCAATCCAGGGAATGATATATCATTGGGAAATCTGGGCAGGTACTACAGCCCCACGAGCCACACACTCCTCACAGCCCTTTCACGGGTTCGGGGTCCTGAGCCCCCCCGCCCCCCGTGGCTTATCCCTAGAAGCATGGTAGCCATCTACGTGAGATACCAGCCGGAACACCTGTTACAGAGAGACTGGCAGAGATGGAGATCACGTGCGAAGGAAGGACACAGAGTAAAACCAAGTCAACAGAGCAGACACACAAGAGACAGATTTACTGGGGAAAAGCAGTGCAAGAAAGGCACGTCAATAGACTGGCTTTAAATTCCTTCCAAGATGTCCAAGTACACTTTGTCAAGAAACCTAAGATTACATCTCTTTCTCCAGTAATAGGAATAATTTTCACTTGCTTATTTTATGATGTTAATGAATCATAAGTGATCGGGTAAAGCTTTGAGTCCTTACTTGAAAGGGTGGTTCATCATTTCTACGTCTGTACTAAAGTGGCACTCATTACATCTGAGGGATACTTTTAAAGGCAGCCTTACCTAGGTGTGTAGGCAGTGCTGGTGGTGTGACAGTGCGAAGGAATTTAGAGCTCTGGGTCACAACGGTCCTGAGATCATTACTCTCAGGTCTGAGTCAAATAAAATCCCAGGAGGTCGATGGCTGGAACATACCACACGCCAGAGGCGGAGAGAGAAGCAGAACATGTGCACACGACTTGACTCCCAGCCCAGGCCTGTTCCCCTTAAACTACGCGGCTCATTATTAAGTTGTTTTGTATTTTCTGGCTAGGACAAATTACTAACGAGGTCAAGGTTGTGAATTCAATCCTTTTACTGACCCATGACGCTCACAAAGAAAAAACGATCGTTTGGTGGTGACAGACCAAATTCCTCACTCTGACAGGCTGGCGTGTGTGTGTCACCGGTCAGAGAGGGAACCAGGCACGTGAGCCACGTGTCCTGACGAAAGACATCACTGTGACTCGAAGACCCGACTCAGAGCGAAAGCCCGGCACACAGCAGGTCAGTGGGGCAGTAAAACAAAGCCCACAGAGCAGAAACTGAACGGAAACCGCCCCTGTACAAGAAACTCTACGCAGGAAAGCACCCCGTCTTCTTTCCTGGCTGGCTGACCTTTTCACTGAACCTGGAATGTGAACAGGGCTGCAGGCCTGTTCACGCCTCCACACGGGAAGGCACTTCTGCGTTTCCAATGCTGCCCCACTCGGGAGACACTCACCGTGTCTCTGAACAACAAAGAATTAAAGCATATCTCCTCTTAAGAAATTTTCTCTGCAGAAATGTTTGCATGCATATCAAAAGCGACACCATGTCTTCAGAAACAGTGGGGACTCGGAAATAAATACAGAATCTAGACTAACTCAAGCAAAGTTACGTATGTTCCAGATACTGAAGTCATGTTTTCATTAGTAAACCCTAAATTTTAAGGACACAGGCATTCTAACACATTAAAATAGATAATTACTTTTCTAAACTTTCATTTTAAAGTCAAGGCATTTAAAAAACAGATGCTTTGGCCATTTGCTTATTAAACTATAAATATTAAGCCTGAAGTTATTTATAGATATAATACACTCAGGCAGTATTAGCTCTTCCTTTCAAATAACAACTTCAGGCATAATAAACACTCATAATCTTTTTGGTTTATTATTCTAGTTTGTAAGAGTTTCCATTTTTAAAAATTGTATTTATTTACAACCCGCCTTGCTACAAAAAGGATTCAAGGTGGAGTTTTCAATTAAGTTTATAAAAAAGCAAGTCCTCTAAACTTTACAGAGTCAGGAAAAAAAGCTTAAAGCTTTTTATCATAACCTTTTAATTTTATCCTCTTGCTGGCGGGCATGCTGCTTAAGGAGAATGTTCTCATCGTGCAAACGCAAAAATCTGTCCTCCAGCTCCTCACGACTGATCCGTGACACAGCCTGGTGAGACTTCATCATTCGTGTTGTTGACGTTTCTGCAAAAATGCCAAGGTCATGAGTAGTGGGATTACTTAAAATAGTCTCTAAAAATGATAACAGTTAATATTACTGTAAAATCTGCTGCACTCATCTCGGATTTTTTCCTTTGTGACCTACACTCAACATTGCTTTAGAAAATACTGCAGCATTATTCGTACTGCTGATTGGAGGTGAGAATAAAAACCTTTGCTATTAAGACTATACATGCAATGCTAAAGGATCCGAACAGTGATAGTATCCACCCAAAAATGCATTCAAAGATGTAAGCTGGAACTTTGATTCAATAAAGTCTTTTTGATTTATATGCTATATGTTGAAAAAAAACTAAAAGTATTTTTTTTAACAAAGTGATAACAATAATCTAGTAAACATAATATGATTAAGAATATTTTTCTAAGCTATGGGTGTTGGGTTATAGAAAATAAACTACAGGGGGGAGGGCTGGGATGGGAGTAAAAGGCAGAAAACTGTACTTGAACAACAAAATAAAAACAACTATAAAATTTGTAAGACCAAATGAGACAAAACCCTTCACAAATTATTTATAATCTATCTTAAATATTTAAAAAGAACTGTTAAACCTTTTAGCATGTGCATGTAATATTTTTTACATAGGCTTAAGTTCGGTATTTTCCACATCTCTGTGAAGTTAGTCCATTTTCAACGGTCCTCCAAAAGAAACAAAGAACAAACAGACCAAGATTAAAGCCCTTTGGTGGGTAACTGAGGGTGAGAACGGAACTGAGAGTGTTAAATCCCAATAAATAGCTTTGCAAACTTAAAATCTATTTGTATTTGAATCCCCGATAACTCTGCCAAAAATGTAACGCAAAGCTTGTACACATTTTTCACTTTCCACAATACAAGCTGTGTAATCGAGTCTATCTTTGTCAGTGAACAATGCACCGATCACCTTTCTGTGGTAGTTCAAGGCGACCGCTTGCGCTCGTCTGATTCTCAGGTGTCCGAAGACGCCTCGGCAGGTTATTGTACATCGCCACCTTCTCTGCGACAAGCCCGTGGCACAACTGCGTGGCTGACACACGGCACGCAGGACGGAAAACACAGCTTGATACTCGAAATTGTTCCTTTAAGTTGTGCTTTCCTTTCTTAATTTGAAAATGCTTTTTAGATCTATAGCAACCATTCAATATAAAAGGATAAAGAAAACCTCTAATGCATACTAATCGGATAAAGTCAATATCACTTGGATAAACAAACCGTTTTGAGAGACTTTATTTGAAAGACGAAAAAAAATTTAAATATGGCATTTCCTCCCAAACAAAATTTAAACATAAAGCAACATTTTAATGGTGAGTGTGATTTAAGCCAGGCAATTCCTTTGGGAGGCTTGGTACTCTCCCTGTAGTTTCTACTGATGTGTGGAATTTTAAAAAGATGATTTATAACAACCCTTTATCAGAACAGAGGGGGACTCTACATCTCCTATGAGCTGCTGATAACTGATGCTCGCGGAAAAATTCCATATGCTGTTCTACATGCTCCGTCCTCTCACTGGGGCCAACTGAGAGCTACAGAGTTACTTAGATGGCTTCATTTGTATAAATATCAAAAATACTTTAAATTCAAAGTAAAGAAGCCACTGATCAAAGTTCATGACCGTGATAAACAAGAGCTGGCCATACCTTGCGGCCCTCCCGCTCCGAAGGGGTCCGGACCGAGGTCTCTCACCGGCAGGTCTCCCGCGGTCTCGTCGGTGAGGCCAGACATGGCCTAGCTGCAGAGGGAAGAAAATTCAAATAAAATCTCTGCAACTTCTAACATTAACTATGCAATGGAATGAGCCAAATAAAATGAATAAGGAACTATAACTTTAATGGACATCTTATTGCCCACATGTGCAGCCTGAAGAAGATGAAAGCTATTTTAAAAGTAATACTACATTGAATTACGGAGACAGTGTTCCTTTCAACAGTGTATTTCCTATGGCTTGCTTAGGAAATGAGGTAAGATTATCATTCTTCCTTTTCTCTTCCTCCTATTCCTCTATCTGAAACAAAAACAAACTCCCCTAAATTTAGAAACATCTCTTCTCCATCCACCATCCCCTCGTCTATCCCCAAAGGAAAGCAGATAATTTGGGGAAAACTCAAGTCAGGGACTTGATTCAGATGGTTGTTCTATCACTTAGCAGCTGGTGGAGTCACCTAATCTCCCTGAGTTTCAGTTCCTTAAGTCAATATTGGAAGAAGAAATACCGTCTCACAGACTGACTAAGGGTAGGTGACAGGGGAAACGGAGGGCATTTAGCACAGTTGCCTGGGACGCCACTACCACTTGAGTGTTAATGTTCAGCCTGAGGCACAAATGAGTGGGTCCTTCCAAGCGTTGCGAAGGGGGTTTCATCAAGTCATCAAATGGGTCGGTTTTACTTGTGTGCTGTCTTTGTAGCCACGAGGCCTGGGTTCCCGGGCTTGCTCCTTCAACGCACAGGCTGTCCAGCGAACTCTGGCGTGTTCAGAGTTTCTGTTCTTTACAGAGATACGCCACAGTAGCTTAGTTATGTATGTGGGTGTGGGTGGTCCATGCAATGTCTGGTATGCTTAAAAAAAAAAAAGGATTTTTCATTTCAATCTACTCTAAAAGCCAAATGCAAATTCCCAGTGGAAACACCCTAAGGCAGGGGTTCTCAAGTTCCAAAAGGTTGGTCCTAGAACACCAAGTCCAAGAAAGTTGCAAGCTTATCGGCTTTGTTGGCCTCTGTCCTCTCAGAGGCTGGCACAGAGCTGGGCACACCACAGACACTCACTTAAATGGTTGTAAGGAGTGAATGGTGTTCGCGGAGCCTCGGGGTCTGTGGCCCCAGAAATGGTTTATAAAATCTTGTATGTTTGTGTATATGTAGAGTATCTTTGAGAGCGGGAGGATTCATAACATTTATAACAACTCATCAAAGGTTGAGAACCACTGCATTTTGCCGGGACATAAATAGCTAACAGATACATGCCCGGGTGGTCATCTAGTTCTTCTGGAAACTGTGCTACAGAAAAGGTCAATCACAGGAACTAAATTATCAAGAAGTTTCAACACAGGACCCTTGTAAAAAGGTAACTTTTCCATGATAGGCTTATGGTAGCTTTTATGAGAATAACAAAGATGATGATGGTGGTGTTAACATTTACTGAATGCTTCCTAAAATGTGCCAGGCACTCTTCTTGGTGCTCTGCTTGTATGAATGAAGCAAACATCTCACAATATCCTTGTGAGGTTGTTACTCAACTGATTCCTACTTGACAAGTGAAGTAATGGAGACACAGCTTAGGAAACTTGTCCAAGATCACTCATCTAAGAGGTCACTGTCTTGTCATATTTTTGATTGTCACTACCAGGAAGAGGGAGGGTCACTGGCACCTACAGCTCAGAGGTGATGCTGAACACCCTGCAGGGTACAGGAATCACAATTACCTGGCCCCCAAATGCTAAGTTGGTCGAGGAACCCTGTGTAAAGCTGTAATGGCTCCCCAATGCCATCTCACGCTACCCCTCCCTGCTCACACTGTTGTCCTTTAGGTCCCCCCAATCCAGGGTACTTTTGCCTTGCCCAAGGCCTCTGCTGGATCCTCATTCTTTGGGGCTCAGCTTGTAACAGGGTGCAGCCAAGAGGGGGACCCCAAACAGGGATTTGGAATGGGGTCCAGAACTCAGGCCAGGAAATATTAAGATGTCCTCACCCCCCCAACAGATGTGAGCTGGGGGAAGGGACAAATGGAGCAGGGCCATTGAGAGATGCTTTGCATAGCAACAGCTTTGCAGCTAACCTCTGGGGTGGTCATTTAACCTGTCTATAACCTTTAACTGGTTACATAGATATGTTCAATAGCTGTGGCCATGCTCTGAGCCAGGGGAAGTAACCGCCCCCTAAGATGTAACTGGGGGGCAGGTCCCCCGAGTTACAGTGCCTGCATGAGAACTTGGAGATGACTGGCTCCAAGACATGGGGCAACGCCTGCCCAGACTCACGAGGGCAGCCCAGTAAAGCTGGAAGGATATGAGAGTGCTGGCAGGTGTAACTGATTGTGGGAGGAGTCGGAAATGGGGTTGCAGAGAAGGATTGGTGCGGGGATTTAAACCCAGACTCGGCAGCCATTGACAGGAAGAACTACAAGGCTTTGCCAGAGTGGGGACTCCTGCGGCCATTGTGCAGAGAGGACCATGCGGCTGGGGCAGTGAAGAGAGAACCCCGCAGCTTTGCCAGAGTGGGGACCCTCACAACTTTAGAAGGGGGAACCACCACCCGGCTTTAGCAGAGATCCCGGCGACACAGCTGATGGTGCTGGGAACCGAGGGAGGCCTACCAGCCGAGACGGATTACTGGGAAGAACCAGGGGCTGCCTGAGCCACGGACTTCTATTTCTTTTCCTGAGATACGGTACCCCAGACTGGGTAAAGGGGGAAGGAAGAACTGTGGGTGTTTTAAGGGACTTTGGGATTTTGATGAAGACATTAGGTCACTACTTTGTCTGTACAGCATTAAATAAACATTTCCTTTCCTTTTCCACGAATCTCTGGCATTGAGATGTCTTTTCTCTGGCGGCGGACCTAATGAACCGGGGAGGGGGGTTCCTTTGGGTAACAGTATATTGTCCTAGGCCCCCCCCCACCTTGTTGCTGTGTAACAAGCTCAAATGTCACTTCTCTGACCATCCCACGTTAGAGTCCTCTTCCTCCCAATTTCATCACTGTTTATTTCTGTTATAGCAACCATCTCTATCTGAAATGATTTTGTTTGTTTACTAGCTGATTACCAGTTTGTCTTCACTAGTAAAGCAGGAACGAGCATGTTGAGCTAGGCAGCTGCCCTGTTCAGCTGGCTCGGTACAGTGCCTTGGACGAGGTGGGCAACAAGATGAACGGTTTTTGAATGAATAAATGGACATCTGGCACTCAGACCAAAATGGTAAAGTCCCTGCCTTTATGCAGGTAATAGGCTATAGGGTAATAAGACGATAAACAGATCACTAGAAATAAATAATTGGCCCCTTGGGACGGGTAAGGGTGTACTAACCAACTCCTAACCCACGTCAAATGATTTGTGTTTATATAACCTTCTGCTTGAAGAAGGCCTTGGAGAAGCTCTGCAATTAGCGTCAACTCTCATCAGGTGGGGTTTAGGTCTGGTATAAATTTTCAAAGGGCTGCTAAGCATGGGGGTAATAGGCGGGGGCTGTGGTTCAGGCCTGACGATGTGGGGGTATCTCCTGCTGGGATACTTTTCACGCGAGAACTCCAGAGACTTCTAGAGACCGTAAAGCAGACCCCACGACCCCGGGCGGTGCTGCGCATAAGGAGTCGACCACCTCCATCGCCCCCTCCTCCCCCACGGTACTCACCGCCACTCTCTCCCGGCGGGTAGTTACCCGTTGCTATAGCGCCACGGCGTGTCGCGCCGCTGGCCGAGAGAAGCACGGGAAAAACATGGCAGGCCCCATTGCTTCCTGGGAAATGTAGTTTTCCTCAGGCCCTAGTCCGCCAGCTCGCTGCCTCCTCAGACCTGGGAAATTCTAGTACCCTAAATCCCGAGGCGCTCCGGGCGTCGCCGCTGTGCATTCTGGGAGTGGTAGTTCCTGAGGCTCTGGAGGTAGAATAGCGGTGAATGGGAGCAGGATGCCGAGAGAACTACACGCAGGAGGCGGGGCCCAGAGCGGGAGACTTTGCTAGACTGGCAGTGGCGAAGAAGGTTTGTAGCGGCAGCATGAAGCGGACTCAGACTGCCGAGGAACGAGAACGTGAAGCTAAGGTATGTGGGGCCACCGGAGTCTGGGATCTTTCCTGCACTCGTAGCTAGGGGCAGGGAACCTGAAGGACTTGGCTGGATGGCGAGTGGACGCAAGATCTGAAGCCAAGGCATGAGAGGGCCTTCTCAGCAAGGGAGCCAGAGATACTGGGGGTTATAAATTCCTACTGCTCAGGATGCAGGCCTAGTCCTGTTGGATCAGCTCACACAAATGGAAGACATCCACTTACTTGTTCTGCACCTAATACCTTGGGTAAATCTGTAGCTACTCTTGTGCCTCAGTTTACCGGACTCGCGGATGACTGATCATTCCAGCTGTGCTTTCTCTTTGGTAGTGATTCCTGAGGACTGAGATGAGATGTGTTTTTTTGGAACAGTTTTCTCAGTGGCTCGTCGATAATGTTCTAAGTCTTCAGCACAGCAAGATACGAAAATTTAACTACAATCCTATTATCTACTTTTGGGGTTCAGCCTCTAGTAGTCGTTGCCATTCCATGCGATGAAAAAAGTAATAGTAATAGCAATAGCGACTTTTTAAATAGCATGTGTTACGTGTCAGGCTTGCATTAAGTTCATAATATTTATATTATTTCGTATTCTTACCACAGCAGATTGCAAGATAGATATTTATACAGATGGAGTCTCAACAGTCCTGTTTCACAGATGAAGACTTGAGGCCCAGAAGAATTGATTGTTTTCCTTTTTCTCATTCCCCAAGTCGAGTCCTATTTATCTGTCTAAAAATATTGGGAACCTGTCCACTTCTTTTTCCATCTCCACCTTGGACCAATCTATCATCATCTCTAATGGGTTGTTACAATGGTCTCCTTACTGGTCTACGCTTTATACCCTAACACTCCATTGTCCCCTATGTCCCCTCCTCCCAGCCACTTTTTCACACTGTGGAGTGTCATCTTTTAAAAATGCCAGTCTAATCATGTTCATTTCCTGCTTAAAAGTCTTCCATGACTTTCTGTTGCTCTTAGGATTTTAGGGCAAAACAACGTGGCCTACAATGTCTGAACACTAATTGCCTCTGCAGCCTCCTTGGACATGACACTCTCCTTGCTCTCTGCCCATCGGCCACTGTGGCTGTCTTAAAAGTCCTTCTTTCTGGTACGGAACTCAAGGGGTTCCCCACCTAGGGGTGTTCTGTTCAAGAATAAGTGGTCGCCAGTGGGTAGTTTTATTTACTTGCAGCAAGTAAAGGAAATGGGATGCACATCCAAAACCTTGTCTCCAGGAAGGGAGGCTTAGCCATTGCTTGTATCCAGATTTGGTTAATTACATACTTGATTTCTTCTTTATATCAGATTGAGTTCCTATCTAGCTCTTTTGTTACTGCTGCATCTACAAAATCTGATGCTGTATTCTATCATCTAGCAAGAATAGCATTTAGTAAGAACCGCTCAGACCTTGAGACCCTTGTCCTGTATAAGAATTCCCCTCTGAGGTTTTTTTATTCCTCATTCTTGAGGGAATGGGCCTGAGGGTCCTTTCCTGTAACTGCTTCCTGCTGAACATGGATGGAGGAAGTCTTTGAGTTAGAGGAATGAAATTCTCTGGCTGCTTGGGTAATGAAAGTCTTGAGGTCCCCTAGCTTCTGGGATTCCTGAGAACAGGAGTACGTAAAGAGGCAGAATGTAGAAGAAAACTGTTAGGGGACCTCACAGTTCCCCTTCTCTTATGTCCTGTAAGAGAAGACTTACAGGACATAACTTATCTTGCAGCGGCTTGAGATCAGACAGGGATCCCCAGGAGTACTGGGGATCTGGTTCTCTATTCTCACTAGGTAGAAAAGCAGGCTTGACTCAAGAGCAATGTATCTGGGAAGCTACACTTTGTGGTTTAAGAAAAGAATGAGTTGTTAATAACACCAAAGGAGGACCTGTCCATATGAGATTCGGTTAATCTCGTGGAGATCCTGAGTTCCAGATTTTTAAATATACCCAATTCCCTGGATTTTGCGGGTGAAGTTTAGTATCTTTTGGTGTGGGCAAAATCAGATTAGCATTGCTATTTAAGCTACCAGTTACTTTTCCTAATTGGCTAACAAATACTGGAAGTAAGATTATAGGTGCAGAGGATCCCAGGAACAGGAGAAACCAAGATACGTTGGGGAGGGTCAGTTTTACTGAGCTCCTCCCAGCAACCCCCAAATCACCTCCACAATTAAAACCACTCGAGCAATTATGTCCTATTTCTTTTTTTTTTTAATTGATTTTAGAGAGGAAAAGAGAAAGACACATTGATTTGTTTTTCCACTTATCTATGCATTCATTGGTTGATTCTTATATGTGCCCTGACTGGGGATCAAACCCACAACCTTGGCATATTGGGGACGATGCTCTAACCAACTGACCTACCTGGCCAGGGCCAATTCCTCGTTTTGACATTATATGTAAGTTAGTTACTCTGGTATGACAGCTCTGGCTCTATTTTATTTTTTTTTTTAAGATTTTATTTATTTATTTTTAGAGAGGGAAGGGAGGGAGAAAGAGAGAGAGAGAGAAACATCAATGTGTGGTTGCTGGGGGCCGTGGCCTGCAACCCAGGGATGTGGCCTGACTGGGAATCGAACCTGCGACACTTTGGTTCGCAGCCCATGCTCAATCCACTGAGCTCGCCAGCCAGGGCTTCTGGCTCTATTTTAAAGGCGGCTCCATTTATATTGTTATTTCTATTTTTCCTCCTTTGATCAAGCTCTTTCCTTGAAAAGCATTCCTGATTAATTATCAGAGAATGGCACTGATCAGTTATTAAAAGCATCGTTGTTCCTGTATTATCAGGTGGTTTATGGTGAGTATTTCATGCCATTGTCGGTGTCTGAGGGCAGAAAGGCTCATTCCCAGGACATCATGCCCCACATAGGAGGGCAAGCTGCTCTTTGCCTAAGAACCTTAGGCCACATTGGAACAAAAACACCAGAACACAGTAAGGTTCTGTGGTCAAGTTTCTTTAAGGGCAAGGCCTGGATTATGTTTGGTTCTAACTTTATTTCATCAGAGGTGTTTTATACAAGTACAAGAGGTATCGACAACAGAGTAAACCCCACCTTACTTAGATAGAATGTTTTCAAAGAGCAATTCTCCTGTCTAATATTGCAGCGGAGGTCATGGTAATACCCGTCGAAGGAAAGTCTTCTGAAATGCCTGTAATTTTTCGTATGGAAATTTTATAGGTCTTCGAGATCGTTTGAAAACCTGGAGCAACCTGTATCAGAGGGGTGTCCTTATACCATCGAGCTATGCAAAATAAACAAAGATTTATAATAGCAAAAATGTTGAGTTCAGTGTGAAGAAGAGATCTGAATCAAGAGGCAATACCTGAGAGCAGGTAGCTGAAGATATTAAATAACCATAAGGTGTTAGTGGACACTGTGTTGAACCATTTGGCTTGTGCTAAATCTGGTACTTTTATTGGCACTGACACCACCAGTCGATGAACATCTAGGAGGGAACACCTTTAAGTTTTGTCATACTCGGATTAGTTAAGGGTACCTGAAGTTTTGTACTTTAGAGTTTTCTCCATGAATCTCTCTGAAGATGAAGCATCTTTGTACACACATTTTTGTCTTATAAAAGCACCAGAATAAAATAATTGTCTGTAAATGACAGCAGATTTAAAAATGGCCTTGGTTTGAGTTCATACACATGCATCTTAAGATCCCTCCTCTGTGAACCTTCTGTAATGTACGCACACCTTCTGCAATATTCACAGTCCTTCTGTAACTTACATAGATCTTCCCGTTTTTGTCCATCTTTCCAGTCATTTTATTCTAGGAAAATTTTTTTTATTTCTTTCTTTGCCAAAAAAACATATGTCTTTTGTATTCTTCCTTATCTAAAGACATTCAGTAAGAGTGTATGTCTATTTCCCATACCCTCTACTACCAAAAATATACATCCTATGCTAAATATAACCAAACATTGTAATCAAACATCATGTTTGACAATGTTTCCTGTGTAATTTTAGCATACCAAATAGGCCTACTTATTTTAATTTCCCCCTTTTATCAAGAGAAAACGAGTCATGGAGGTATGTCAGGGATCCTGCAAAACTTTGAAGCTCTTAAAAATGTCACAGGTCAAGAAAATGACTCTCCTTAAATTTTGAATCTTAGGGAGTTTGTGAGACATAGCAAGAGTTTTAAAACATTTTCCAAGTAAAGTCGTAGACAACAATACTTTAAAGTTGTTCACTTAGTCAAAGTGGCAATCACAGATTGTTGCCAGCGAATGCAGAAAGTCAAAGAGGTGTTAAAACAACATTTTAGTTTTTCTAATAAGGTGATTCAATGGACTTGAGTAATTAAAGACCTGATGGTAAGGAGTATACCTGTATCTTCTTTTAGAATTTCTTATTAAAAGCATACCAATAATACAGAAGACAGAACATTAAGTTTTGGCTTTATGTAAATACACTATTGATACTGAAACTTAATTTTAAAAAGCCCTTATCATAACAACTTAATTTTAGCCAGCTTAATACATAGAAGGCAAAGTCTCCTTTTCTATTTTTTTTTATTCTGAATTTTTAACCCTTGGAAACCTTAATTTTAGTGACAACCAAACCTCAAATTTGTGAATAATTTTATAACCTCTAGAAATACAGGCTCTTGGCAAAATATTTCATAATTCTTAGAAACATGTATTTCCTTAATACAGCATAAGACATCTTTGTTAACAGCTCCAAACATCTTTAGTTTCTCTGTATTAAAAAGCCAAAGAAGTAGGTAACAGAGGTAGCCATAAACTTATTTTTGTAAAACCCGATTAGATCTACAACAATTAAATCAGTTCTCGTGTTATTTCCTAGATCATGTAGTCCTGAAAAGGATGTTGAATTAATGATTAAGTGCTTATTTCAAATAAGCAGAGCTGTTTCCATAAAAAAACAATTTCAGGATTTTCTTCTGGAGGTGGACAAACATATACGCATACAGACGGACAAAACCAGAGACATGAAAGCTTCGTTTTAAAATTCCTTTAGCCATGACACAG